GGGGGGGGGGGAGGGGGGGTAGATGCTCCCCTCCTCCCCCCCCCCCCAGCCATATCGGCCTGCGGGCAAGAAGAGCAACAGAGCATCCCAGGGAACAGGACGCAAGGGGGGGGAGGGGGGGGGGGGGAGGGGGGGTAGATGCTCCCCTCCTCCCCCCGCCTCCCCCCCCCGCCGACCCCCGTTCTTCTGGGCATGTTTCTTTGAATGCACGCCTCACACCTGAATCCGGTCCTCCTCTGCCCGCATGCGCGCAGTGTGGTCCTTCCGCCGGTGATCTCAGGCCTTGGCCAGGATTTCAACGTGGCTCTGAAACCGTTGTGGGCAGGCCCCCTGCCCTCCCCAGCCCTGGCCAAAGTTAACCTGCTTTCTCCCGCTCTGCCCGCAGCTGGAGCAGCCGTCCAGCCATCAGCCACCATTGAACCCCCCCAGCTGAGTGTCCAGCCGGGCCAGTCAGCCGAGTTTCGCTGCATCGCCACGGGAAGCCCGGAACCCACCGTGGAGTGGATCGGTAAGCGCTGCGTGGCTCCGGAGCTGAAAGACCCCTCTGCCCAGCCCGGCTGCTGCTGCTGATGGGGCCCTGGCGAGGCTGGCATCTAGCTGGTCTCGGCTTGGCAGCTAGGAAGGTTCAGGCTGGGGGAGCAACCTCCAGGAGTCCCAGCACTGTAAGCTGAGAAAGTCTTCCAAAGGCGGCCGTGACAAACCCCTTCTGCCTTGAGGCCAAAAGCAACACGGACAGGTCCATTTAGTCACTTGACCAGAGAGCAGCTCACGCCAGCGGCCAGTGTCTCTCTTGGTGCATTTGCTCCCTCTGCTGGTTGCTGACGGCTTTGCCAGAAATGCCCAGCCCAAGCCATTGCGGGGAGAGGAAACTCAGCTGGCCCATAATAATCTGCCTTGCCCGTTCGTTCTTCCGTCCGAGCAAAAAGTACGTGACTCCCATAAAGGGACGAAGTTCACTAGCTGGCCCTCGCGGCCTCCTTTGCGCTGCTCTGACGGCTCTTTGAACGACAGTCAGAATTAGTCACCAAAGCAGGTTCTTAATTCTGGCAACGGTTCTGAGCAGGGTGTATGTTAAGGAGCTTTAACCGTAACTTAAAACACTCGGGTGAGATTCAGAGAGGCTTTGTGGATCCCCCAAAAAAGCGTAGCTGATTTATTGCGGGATTGCGTGGCTCTGCTCTGCTCGCTCACTGGGGCTCCAAGGGAGGTGCTTCTAAAGGATGCGTGGAAAGGAGCGTCTTTGCGTCCAGCTTGGCTAACGGTGTTTTCACCTGGGTGTTCCAGGACTCCAAACTCAGTTTCGCACCCAGGGCAGGGCAGAACGGAGGGTCTCCAGCACCCTCTCCCCGAAAGCAGGAATCTGGGAAACTTTTCTCTCTGCTCTAGGAGGACCCGGGGGTGTGATCTCCCCCAAGGCCGTCATCCAGGGTGGGATCCTGCGCTTCCCTGCGGTAGAGCCTGCCGACGAGTCCCAGTACCTGTGCCGGGTGCGAAGCAGCGCCGGGCAGCACGTGGCCCGAGCTTTCCTGCAAGTGCAAAGTACGTCAGGGCGGTGGGTCGGCCCGTGTCTCTCTGGCCACAAGGGCCCAGCGTGCCAAAGGGCGGGTGCCCGAGTCACCCCATCCAAGTGGGCGGTGGTACCCAGCGACCATTCTGCCCCCACTTCCTTGTTCCTCAGCGTTACATCAAGAAAGAGGGGGCTCTCCCCGAGGGTCTCCCTAGGCCCAGGAGGCTCAGACCCCATCTTCCCAGGAGGGACCAGGGAGAATTTATTCTACTTCAGGGAGGAAGAGGAGACAGTTAGTCGACACCTAACCAAATGTGACTTGCAAGAGGCAAAAGAGATTCACGGTGAATTTAAGCAGGGCAGCCAGAGAGCGAAAATGGAGGGGGGGCTTTGGGCCATCAGTTCCGTGACGGTCCAAGAGGGAGAGGGGAACTGATCGGCCGCTTGGCTCTTGGGCAGGTACCAGCGCCCCCCAAGTGCAGGTGAGCCCCGAACGGACGGAAGTGCATGAGGGCAGCACCGTCAGGCTGTACTGCCGGGCTGCAGGCTCCCCGGCAGCCACCATCACCTGGGAGAAACAGGGTGGCAGCTTGCCTCCGCAGGTAAGCCCCCGGGCCCCTGGGAGGAGGGCCCGAGACCTCGTCCCTGGTGAGGCCCCTGAGTTGCCAGAGGTAGGGTCCGGGCCAGGACCAGAGCCAGCTGAGGGTCCCCGCCGTGCTTTCTTCTGTGCTTCTCATCTTTCTCGCAGCCTCTGTCCTCTCTCTTTCTCCCTTGCTCCCTCCTGGGCTAGGCACTTCCCATCTTTGGCTTCTTCCACTTCCAAAGCGGCAGCTGGGAGGCTGTCCGGCAGCGAATGCGGGAGCTCCAGCAGGTATCCCCGTGCACAAGCCCCTGCAGTTGGAGTCTGTCTTCCTCCTCCAGCTTTTCACTTTTGGTCTCTGGTTCTCCATCTGAGAGAAGGGAGGTCTCCCCCAAACTGCTTTGCATCCTCCCACCCTCCCAGGTTTCTCCGGGGCAGAAGGTCCTTAATGTTCCTTGCTGGAAACTGGGCTGCACCCCGGTTCCACCTCCCCCTCGCCCGTTGCTTCGCGCCCTTTTCTCGTTTGTGCTGAGACTCAAGGATGTTGGTGGTGGCACGGCCTGGCGCTGGCCCCTCACGGGCTCTTTGGCAGTCCCTTCCCAATGTGGCCCATGAGGCTTGGGGCGTCAGCTGCCGCTTGAGGGTCCCCCAACGGTTTTCCTCCGTGTCTGCAGTCCCACTCTGAGAGAACAGACATCGCGACCCTGGTGATCCCCTCCATCACGGCGGCCGATGGAGGGGTGTACCTGTGTGTGGGCAGCAGTCCGATGGGAGTCGGCAGAGCCCGGATTGAAGTGGTGGTTATTCGGGGTAAGGAGACCCCTTTCTTCTGGTGGGGCTTGAATAATCCTCAGCTCCAATGCCCGGTGCGTGCATCTCTGTCTGTGAGAAGCCAGCCACTGGCTCTGTTCGAAACACAGTGTAAAAGAATCAACAGAACAAACAGCTGGTTTGACCAATATGCTTAGCTGGTCAAGCTCCCCCCAAGGGTCGCATATCTGAACCTGGCCTGGAACGCACCCGCTTCCCCGTGTGGCTGCTCTCACAATCCCTTCTCCTTGCCCTGTGTGTCTGTTCAGCGTCCGGTGTTTCACCGATCGTCAAGATTGAGCCTTCATCCTCTTCAGTCACCGAAGGGCAGTCCTTGGACCTGAACTGCGTGGTGGCCGGCCACCCTGGGGCATCCGTCACGTGGTATCGGCGAGGAGGGGCCCTGCCAGCTAACCACCAGGTTTGGACCCTCTTGGGGCCCAATGGGAATCGGTTGCTGGGCACCCCCTGCTCTGTTAGGCCTCCTGGTTGATGGGCAGAGCTTCGTTCTGGACAACGAAAGAGTGGGAAGTTGGAGAGCCCCATGGGAGCCTCACTAGCCTGCCTTAAACCACCAACGTGGCATCTTGATTACGAGGAGGAGTTCAAAGTAGTTGGTCCCATCCAGCTGCTGCCCTAACAATGTCTTATCTTTTTCAAAGGATGCAAAAGATTACATTTTCTCAGCACAGCCTTCGGAAAGGATAGCTTAAGGGCTGTAATTTGAACAGTAACAAGAATGCCCCTCAATTATAAATCAGCATACCAATAAAGAAATAAAGCTGGGGTGGGGGGATAGAGATGCTGAGCACGTGACAAAAAGGGAAGGGGGGAGATTTGCACGCTGCGCTGATGTAGTCGCAGACAGCATTGCTGTTTTCTCCCCAGATCCACGGCCCCCTCCTGCGGATCTTGCAAGTTTCTGCAGCTGACTCCGGTGAATACGTCTGCCGGGTCAGCAACGGAGCTGGGCCGAAGGAAGCCTCCATCAAGGTGACCATCCAGCAGAGCCACAGTACCTCCCACGGTAAGGCAGAATGGAGCATCTGAGTGTTGGAACGAGCGCCAGGAGTCGCCAGCTGGGCAGGGTGGCCGAGCTCGGGCACCAAGGGGGCATTTGCAGCTTCCTGTCGTCCACCTTCCTGGCCATCTCTGCTTGCGAACAGAGCACTGGACTTGGTGGACTAGAGAACCTGACCTGGACCTTCTGACCTCCTCAGGGCCACCCCCGGTCCGGATCGACTCCTCCTCATCTTCCGTCACCGAGGGCCAGGCCTTGGACCTCGCCTGCCAGGTCACTGGTCTCTCGCGGCCCAGAGTCACTTGGTACAAGCGGGAAGGGGCTCTCCCGGCGGATTGCAAGGTATGGGCAGGAGGCCTGCAGCGGGGAGACCCTGGGCTCAGTTGCACGCCTCTCCCCCTCTTCGGGGCTCACCCGATCCCCTGGCCGCCTTCTCCCTTCAGATTTCTGGCTTCCATCTGAGGATTCCCGAGGCCACGGCAGCAGACTCGGGCGAATACGTGTGCCGGGTGACTGACGGTGACAGTGGCGTCGTTCAAGAGGCCTCCATAGTGATTACTGTGCACAGCAGCTCCCGAAGTAAGCAAGAGGCTTGGTTTGCTTCAGGTCTGGAACCGGTGCATTTCGCGGATGCCGCCCGAAAGGGCCAAAGAAGGCCGGCCGAGCGCAAGGAGAGCCCGGGGCATTTCCAGGCGGACTAGAAACTGCAGAGGGGTCCAGCTCTCCTCTTCAAGCTCCCATTTCTGCCGAGGATGTGAGCCTGCAGGCCAGGCTGGGGAGGCTGGCTGGAGGGGAGACATCCCTTAACTGATCGGCGGCCCCTTTCTGCCCGTGCCTGACTGCTGCCTGTCCTTGCAGCATCAGGAGTCAGGCCTCCCCTGTGGATCGAGTCTTCGTCGCCCTCCGTGGTCCAAGGACAGGCCTTGGACTTGAACTGCGTCGTGGCAGGCCAGACCGGTGCCACCATCACGTGGTACAAGCGAGGCGGGTCCTTGCCAGCCGGCCACCAGGTATGGGAGCCACTCAGGGCTGGGGGGAGCTTTGCTCAGGGACATCTCCTCCTGACCCCCTTTTGCAGCTTCTCCATCTCCCTCCCCGGGGGTTTCCTGAGACAAGCAGGAAGGGGTTGGCCCTTCCTCTCCATTGCCTTCGGCTACTCCGGGGCCACCGTGTGGCTCAGCAGCGGCTTCAGGGCCCCTCCCTGACACACACTAGTCCAAGCCATGCCTGGCAACTGGAGATGGGAAGGAGGCCCCTTGGTGCAAGTCCCTGGACAGCCGTTGCCAGACAGAGAATGAAAAGCGTATTCCTTTCCTTTGTGCGCTGAATGCTCTCCCTCCCTCGACCCACAGGTATCGGGTTCCCACCTGCGCATCCCCCTGGTCTCCCTGGCCGACCTGGGCGAATACGTCTGCCGCGTCAGCCTGGATTCCGTCACCCGAGAAGCTTCCGTCCTCGTCTCCCGCAGCCGCTCCTCCTCCAGTAGGTCTGGGCTGCCCGCAGGAGGGCCGGGGGACCTGGCTTCCGTGGGGCTGGCTGGCTCCTCACCTGCCCTTCTGCTCTCCCCAGCCTTTGGTGTGGCTCCCCCTGTGAGAATCGAGGCCTCGTCATCCCTCATAGCAGAAGGGCAAACTCTGGAGCTGGACTGCGTTGCTGCCCGCCAGGAGCAGGCCGTGGTCACCTGGTACAGACGGGGTGAAGCCCTGCCAGCCAACCACCAGGTACAGGGATGATGGTGCTTGGCATTAATGAGTGCTGCCGGCTAACGGCTTCTGGGCCATGAGGGCCCTTTGGCAGTTTGGGGGGTAAAAGCCACAGTCTCAGAGGCACAACCTTGCCCGCCAAGGGCCCCAGGTTGGCTCTGGGGCACGATTCCAGTTCCGAAATGCTTTGATTAGCTGGAAAACACTCTTTGGACTTTGGAGCTGCTGCTGGAGGAAACGGGATCGGATGCCTCCAAAGTCTGGCACACCGGGCATAGGGTTAGCCTGTGGATGAATTTAGGTCTGTCTGCCCCTGAAATAGAAATAGTTGCTGAGGCGGGGCAGATTCAGAGGGTGATTCTGCAAAGTGGGGTTGAGTTTAAGACATCTTCATGGGAAGGCTGCCCTTTAAATAATCATTTTTTCAACAAATGGTTTTGCAGACAGAAGGCTGGGGAGGCCTCCTTGCTCTAAACACAAAATAAGCGCGTTCCGTTCTCTGTTTCGGAACCGTTGCTTTTTCCTCCGGTGCCAAATAAATACACTTGGTTAAGCTCATTATTGGCAGACCAAGGCTGGTTTCAGGGGATACCAACTGGGGTGTGACGCGCGTCCTCTTTCAGACTTTGGGGTCTCGCTTGCGGCTGGTCAAGGTCTCTCCTGCGGATTCTGGGGAGTACGTTTGCCGGGTCAGCTCTGATGCCGCCAGCCAGGAAGCCTCTGTCTTGGTCACCGTCCAGCAGCAGGAGGGCGGCCATACTTTCCGTAAGTGTGCCTCTGGGATGGGCCCCAGTAGATAGGCAGAGGGGGGTTTGGTGTCGTGGCTAAGGTGGTGGGCTAGAAACCGGAGACTGGGAGTCTAGGGCTCCCTTGGCATGGAGGCCGGCTGGGTGACTTTGGGTCAGTCCCTGTCTCTCACCCAACCCTTCTCGCAGGATTGTTGTTGGGGGGGAACAGGAGGGGGGGAGAGGGGGACGGCCCCTGAGTAGCCAGATTGAGGCCTCGTGAAGCACCATCTGGTCACAGCTCCTTCTGCCCCTCCCGAGGGTTGCGTGACACCTCAGTCACTGGTGCTTTAATGCATCGGCTGGCGCTCCTCCAGAGTTCTCCCTGGCTGGGGGAAGATTTGGCAATGGCCCTAACCCTTCTTCCCTTGTGACCGATGCAGCCGCTGGGGTGATTCCCCCAGTACGGATCGAGTCTTCTTCCACCTCTCCTGCCGAGGGTCACACGCTGGACCTGAAGTGCATCGTGTCCGGCTCCATGCCGCAGGCCAAAGTCACCTGGTATAAGCGAGGAGGCGCTCTTCCCACCAGCCACCAGGTACGGCACTGCCAACGTTGGGCTGGCCAAGAGGGGATTTTCTCTTGGAAACGCCTCCGGGTGCTGCGCAGAAGATTCCGGTGCCCGGAGGCCATCTCCCGTCCCCGTTCACGCTCGGCTCGCCTCTTCCCAGGTCTCCGGCTTCCTCCTGCGCATCCCTCATGCCTCAGCGGCTGATTCCGGGGAATACGTTTGCCGTGTAAGCCATGGCTCGGCCGTTCACGAGGCCTCGCTGGTGGTTACCATCAAGGGCGAAACAGGCTTCTACGGTAAGCTGGCACAGCGGGCACTGGGCCGGAGGGACGCGGTTGCTGGCTCCGTGGGGGCTTCTCCCATTGAAACGGATCCCTCTTTTCTCCTGCCACGCTCTGCTCCGACTTGCCTCTGCTCCTCCAGCTGTGGGAGTCACTCCCCCGATAAGGATTGAAACGTCATCCACAGCCATCTCCGAGGGGCAGACCCTGGACTTGAACTGCCTGGTGGCCGGCCAGTCCCACCCCAGGGTCATGTGGTACAAGCGCAGGGGCGCCCTGCCGGTCCACAGCCAGGTAAGGGGACGTGGCCGGAAAGCAGAGGCTTCTGCAGCGTTTCCAGGCAGAATCGAGCCGCCGCGAGCTTTCGGAGGCCCCGGGGCTGCGGTGGGCGGCTGATAGAATGACAGGGTGGTCTGGGACTGCGGGCAAACTGGGCTCCCTTGGAGTAGCCAGGCGTTATTTTTTAGAGCGTGTGCCGCGCAGTAGCTTTATACGTTCCCTGTCTTAATCGCGCGGAGGGCTTTCTGCAGGGGTGCTCCAGAAACGCCTCGGCGTAATCTTTGGGGGCTTGGGAAAAGAAAGCCGAGGCTTTAGGAAACCCAAGAGCTCCAAGCTGGCAAAAGAAACCAGCTCTCGGTCTCCTGCTTTTTCTTCCTGGGAACAGATTTTCGGCTCCCACCTCCGGATCACGCAAGTCTCAGTGGCCGATTCGGGCGAGTACGTCTGTTACGTGAACAACGGCACCAGCCTGCTGGAGGCCTCTGTCATGGTTTCCATTCCCAGCAGCGCAGGCAGCCCTCACGGTACGTGCCCGGGGAGCCTGGTGGGGGGTCTCCCCGCGGCCAGCAGAAAGGGGGGAAGGGGCTTAAGGGAAATCGGGAGCCGCTCTCCTTTGCTCCACAGCTAGAGGCCTTCCCGGGGCCACGGGTATCACAGAAGCCCTTCTTCGTCCTCTGCAGCTTCCGGAGCGGTCTCGCCGGTGTGGATTGAATCCTCCTCGTCTTCCCTCGCCGAGGGGCAGACCCTGGAACTGAACTGCCTCGTGGCCGGCCAGGCGCAGCCCAAAGTCACGTGGTTCAAGAGAGGAGGGCCCCTCCCACCTAACCACCAGGTAGAGGGGGCAAGGCGCTTCTCGTTCGCCCCACTTCGGTGGCCGGGGCGATCCTTGACCTTGGGCCTGCCTGGTTCCTCTCCCCCCTCTCTGGGGAGGCAGGACCGGCAGAAGACGCAAGCCCTGGGCCCGAACGCTCCCAGGAGCACCACTGAGGTCTGTGCCGGCGAACGGCTAACCCGTCTCTCTGGGGCAGGTCTTTGGCACCCGCCTGCGCATCCCGCAGGTCTCCTCAGCCCACTCCGGGGAGTACGTCTGCCGCGTCAGCGATGCCGCCGCCACCCAGGAAGCCGTGCTGGTGGTCACTGTCCAAGACAACGAGGGCCCCCGCCACCGTAAGGCTGCTGCTGCTGCTCTCTCTGCCCCCGTGCGCCCCAGGCTCGCTGTGGGAAACGGGTGGCTCATTCGAGGCTCTGAGGCTCTTTCTCCCCCGCTTTGTACAGCTACAGGGGCTGCCCCACCCCTGAGGATTGACGCTTCCTCCCCCTCCGCCATGGAAGGAGAGGCCTTGGATCTGTCCTGTGTTGCCCCAGGCCAGCCACATGCCACGTTCGCCTGGTATCGGCGAGAGGGTCACCTGCCTGCCGGTCACCAGGTAGGGAAGGGCCCGTCCTGCTCCCGTTGATGAAAGAGGAGACTCGGGGAGGCAGTGGGTGCTGAAGTCCTAAATCCCGGTTCAGCGAATGCTTCCTCCCCCCTGCCCTGTGCTCACAGGTCTCCAACTCCCACCTGCGGTTGGTCCAGCTGACCCCCGCAGACTCTGGCGAATACGTCTGCCGCGTGAGCGGAGGAGGCGTCTCGCAAGAGGTGTCCTTCGTGGTCTCTGTCCTGGCCAACACCAGTCCTGCTTCCCGTACGTCTGGCGTTCTGGCGGGGGCAAGAAGGGGCGGGGGGGGGTGGCGGGGGGTTGGGGGGG